TCTGAGATCAAAACTGCCACACCAGCCTTCTTTTGGCTTCCATTTGCTTGAAATATTGATTTCCACCCCTTTACCTTGAGTCTAAATGCATCTTTGCAAGTTAGATGAGTTTCCTGGAGACAGCAGATGCTTGGCTTGTTTTTTTTTTATCCACTCAGCCAGCCTATGTCTCTTGAAAGGGGAGTTCAAGCCATTCACATTTATTGAGAGAACTGATAGGTGGGGTGAATTACTGTTCATTCTGTTGGGTTGCATTTTGTTCCTTTGTTTTCTCTTTTGAGCCATTGTGGAATCTAGCCTTTGATCTTTAACTTTTGAGTGGTTTCACATTTGAGAGTGTTTATTGTGCTGATCCTCGTGTAATTCCGTTTTGAGTACTTCTTGGAGAGCTTGTCTTGTCTTAGTGAATTCCCTCAGTCTTTGCTTATCTGAGAATGTCTTTATTTCTCCTTCATATATGAAACTTAGTTTTGCAGGGTACAAGATTCTAGGCTGGGCATTATTCTGTTTCAGAAGAGTCAGAATGGGGCCCCAGTCTCTTCTTGCTTGTAGGGTTTCAGTTGAGAAGTCTGGAGTTATTTTGATGTGGTTTCCTTTATATGTTATTTGTTTCTTTCACCTTACAGTTCATAGAAGGGCCTCTTTAGTGGATATTTTGGTCAATCTGATGACTGCATGATGTGGTGTCCTCCTATTTGCATTCAATGTCCCTGGGGTCCGTTGAGCTTCTCGTACCCGTATATCTAGATTTTTAGCAAGGCCTGGGAAATTCTCTATTAATTCTTCAGATAGCTTATCCAGCCCTTATGTGTTTTCTTCTTCACCTTCCAGAATCCCAGCACCTCAGGTTCGGTTTTTTCACATAATCCCACATTTCTTGTAGGCTTATTTCTTTTCTCTTAATTTTCTGCTCGATCTCTGTGACTGATTTATTCAGTTGGAAGGAGCTGTCTTCAATCTCTGAGATTCTTTCTTCTGTTTGATCTACCCTGTTCTTGAGGCTTTCCACTGTGTTTTGTAGTTCCCTGAATAAGTCCTTCATTTCCAGGAGATTGGTTTGATTTTTCTTTAATATTTCAATTTCTTTAGTGAATTTTTCTTCCAAGTCCTGGATTTTTTTTTGTGGTTTCTTTGTGTCGGTCATCCATTTTTTCTTGCATGTCATTGAGTTTTCTTACAATCCATGTTTGAACTTCTTCTGTCATTTTAGTATTCTGGACTTGGTTAGTGTCCATTGCTAGAGAGCTGGTATTCCTCTTTGGGGGTGTGCTTTCCATTTGATTCTTCATACTTCCAGAGATCTTTCGCTGAGTCATTCCCATCTGGATCAGCCGTTGCTTCTCTCCTTTCAGTTTTCGTTTGGAAAGTAACACGTCGTGTGTGTTTTCTGCTCCAGTGGATGTTGTAGCGAGGCAGATCGCAGGTGCTGCCTATTAGCCTGGATGTGTGTGCTTCTATGGTTACTTCATCTGCCGCTAGAGGGAGCCGCTAGTATGTTGTTCAGGGTTCTTCTACCACAGCTGGGAGGCTGCTCCTGATGGGAGGGGTTCCTTGGGGAACTTGTTTTGGTCTATTGCCAGGATTTTTGTTCCCTAGCCACAGACCTTACTGTTGGTAGCTGGCTGGAGTTGGAAATCGAGCCCCAGAGTTGCCATCCTACTGAGTGACCTAAACCGGTCTGATGAGCAAAGTCACTGGGCTGTCAACTATTGGCTAGCGCCAAGGCCCCGCGGATTGAAGCTAGTCACGGTGGGAAAGTGGCTGTTTATGTCTCGCCGCCATAACCCCAGAGGTGGAGCCTACCACTTTCAGTGCGAAAGATGCTGGCTAGGGGGAGGGGGCGCTGCCCCAGTTCACCCAGCGCCCCAGCGCCTGTAAGTCCCACAGGCCTTAGCCTCCCACAGCTGAGGAAGTATTCAGAATTCACCCATCGAAAATGGGCCTGGGTAGTTGACTTTAGGTCCTGTAAGGGCGGAGCTTGTCGTAGGAGTTCCCAGGCTGGGGGAAGGGAGCTGTCCGACACCGACACCGTATCACACTGCAGCGGCTGGGCTGTGGGCCCCGAGAATGGCGACTGCCCGCCCACAGGGCGCTAGCACTGGAGGCGACTGTTCAGGAGTTGGCAGGCGCCAGATCAGGGAGCCAAGTCATCAGGGTGCCCCGGTGTCTCTTTTATGTCACCCTCCCCCAATCTCACGCCTATCCAGCAGGAGCTCTTACTCTTACTGACCCACCCTGAGCAGGCTTATTCATGGGCTGTGGTTTCCACGTTAGAGTCCCCTACTTGGTGATCACCTCCTTGATCTGGACCCGCTGGGTGCCAGAGACAAGTTTCCTGTCTCCTAACTGCCTCTGGAGGTAGCCCAGACCAGTCCCTTCCCTCCCCAGTGCTGTCCTGGCACGGAGCTCCGGGGAGTTCAGGATGCTCCCCGCTACTGTGTCCTCTCCGCAGAGCCCTGTGTCTCCTGCCACGATTCTGCACCCACTTCATGCAGGTCCCTGTCTTGGTGAGTGTAGAAGTCAGTGGGAAAGCAAGACTTTCTCTTGAGGGTCTGATCCCACTGTACTTGCTGGCCAGGCAGGCGCAGCTGTCCCACGCTCCACTCTCTATTGTCTGTCTCGCACTCTTCAGGTTTCGCGTTCCTATCTCCTGTTCACCTTTTTTTTTTCCTGTTTTATGCGTCCCATGCTGAATCTCCACCAATTCACCTCGCTGTTCTTGCGGGAGAGCGATCCATTCATGTGTAGCAGACCGAGATCTACGCCTCTTTCTCTGGGAGCAGGAATCTAGGAGGTCACCTTTACTCTGCCATTTTTTCTCCCCCCAATCTATGCCTTTTGATTGGAGAGTTTAACCTATTTACATTTAAAGTAATTGCTGATAAAGAATGAATTATTACTGTCATTTTTCTATTTGTTTCTGTATGTCTTGTAGCTTTTTTGACCCTTATTTCTTCCATTGCTGCTTTCTTTTGTGTATAGTTGATTTTTTGTAGTAACACATTTAGATTTACTTCTTTTCTTTTGTATATATTCTATAAAGATTTTCTTTATGTTCACCATGGGGATTATATTTAATATCCTAAAGTTATAACAAACTAATTTGAATTGACACCAATTTAACTTCAAGCACATATAAAAACTATTCCTATAAAGCTCCATCACCGCCCCCCCACCACCCAGCTCCTATGTACATGGGAAATAGGTCAAGCTGCCACAGGTATGTAAGGTGATGTACTTGTTCAGTCCACTTGTTCAGTTTCTGTGAGGACCCTGTGCCCCTGTGCCTTCCACCACCACTCCACCCCTCAGCTTTAAAGGTCTGTCATTCTAAGGAACATTCTAATGGGAAAGATGGTGCAACAATGAATGATGGTGATTCTGAAAGAAAAGACAAAAGAACAAGTATTTCCAGCTCCCTGGGAGGGCTTGCTGGTTTACTGTTGGTGGAAGCTTCTTAAGGCATTGCAGACAGACTGTGTCCCACGGTGATGCCAGCATGGGCCACCCTGAGCTCTGTGTCCCTGCATTCGTGCTGCTGTGGGGAGCTGCAGAGCCCATGTCCAGGCCTTCTCTAAGCCGCCTGTACCTTGCCTATTTCTGGATGGCCCTGCAGGCAGCCCATGGAAAGTGGATTCTTTAGACCCTCTGAGTTTATTTTCTGTGATAAACCCTTGGACAAAGAAAAGGGGTCAGAGATGTGGCCCTTCCTGGCTACTTTTCAGCACGTCCTGGTGGGTTCCTGCCACACCCACCCACTTCCATTTCCTGTTGAGGCCCCGGGTGGGGGCAGCTGTCAGCTGTGTGCAGTGCTCCCTACATGGGCTAGGATGTCCACAATCCTCCAGGTGGACCCTCCTGGTGGACATAGGGGCCTCCCATGATCAGCATCAGCGTGAGGCTGCTGTACCTAGTCCCCTCGGACTGTGCTGGCTCACGCCCCTGTGCCATCTGCTTCTGTTTCAGATCAGACCTACTGTGACCGCCTGGTGCAGGACGCGCCTTTCCTGACGGGCCAGGGGCGCCTGAGCGAGCAGCAGGTGGACAGGATCATCCTCCAGCTGAACCGCTACTACCCACAGATCCTCACCAACAAGGAGGCGGAAAAGGTGCTGAGGAGGTGAGGGGGGGTGCGTGACACATTCCTTGGTTTCCCTTCCTTTCTGGGCTGGGAGAAGTTGGCAACTAGCCCCGGGTCATCCTCTCACAAGATGACACACCCAGCAGGTGTGTCAGGACAGCTCAAAGGTGACATACCCGGACCTGGCCACTAGGGCTGCCGAGCTCCAAACTATCTCTTTGGGGCGACCACAAATGGGCCCATAACATCAACTCTCTGTACCTCGGTCTTTTCATATGTCACTGAACCTGCTGCCCCTTCCAGAGTTGCTGGGAGGGTTACATAAAATGACACATGATGACACACAAAAGCACACAGTGGTACAAGATTCAGGGGGCAGAGGGAGGGCTGATGAGGGAGGGGAAGGAGAGAGGGTTGAGGGGGAAGGGAAGGAAGAGGGAGGGCTAGGGAGGGAGAGGAGGGAGAGGGAGGCCTGGGGAGGGAGGGGACGGAGAGGAGCAAAGGTCAGGCCTGGCCTCACTCTGGTGCCACAGGGCTCTGCACTCTGCATCTTCCAAAGGTTCAAAGTGGGCAAATGCATGCTTCCTTTTTCTCTAATTCCCATGTTGTGTGCGAGGCTGAGGGGCCCAGCCTGTCACAGGTAGGCAGCAGAGACTCCAGGTGGGCAGGTGCTAACCCTGTCTCAGCAGTGCTGAGGGGTCTGGTCCCACTTGGAGACTCAGCTTCCCCATCTGTGGAACGAGCAGCTGGAGCCCTGGGCTCTCAGGCTGTGGTGAGGACTAGCTGACCTGAGCCGGGTAAACAGCTGCCCGAGTGTCTTCCTCCCTAGATGGTCCCTGGTTTCCTACTGCAGGTCTGTGAGGAGCCATGGTCATCGCCCCATTTTACAGAGGAGGCCACTGAGGCCTGAGAGGCAGTCACATGCCTAGGGTCACCTGTCTCAGGAGTGTCAGACCACATCCTCATCCCATCCTGTCACTTAGGAAGGTGCCCAGGGGCAGTTGCTGTCACTGTGTCACATGGCCCTGGCCTCTTAGAACTGCAGACCCGGCTGTGCCATGCTGGCTCTGCTGGAGATGGGATTTAAGGTGCAATTCCTGGGCTCTGGCCTGGGAGGTCTAATCTGGTCCAACCCCCGCAGCACTGGCTGACCTCGAGGGGCCCCAGGTTTCTGGGATGCTGGATGAGAGAGTTAGGCGCACACTGCCCACCCCAGCCACACCTATGGCTCTGGCTCCGGCCCAAGCCATCTGCTCCCTAGCAGCTGTCACCAGGTCCCAAGGGGCAGATGGTAGGTGCCAGAGACCCACTAGTCCTTTGAGGTTCAGGTCCTGTCCCCCTGCCTCCCTGCCTGAGTGAGTCCTATCTCCTCTTGGAGCCACAGTTTCCTCACGTGGTGGATGTGGGTGGGTGGGTGTCATGATGCCACTTGTAGGGCTGTCCTGAGGGTTAGGACATCTGCTGGCATGGGTGAGGTTGGTCCACAACAGAACATGAGTCAACACGGGCCCTGGTACTGGCTCAGATGCTTCTTACATTACAGAAATGGTCCAATAATTTAAAAAGGTATGAACTCAAATTCGTCTCTTATTATTGTAAGCAGAAGTCTAATACATGCACATTTTTTAGTTTTGAAGAGTTTCAGATGTTTATGTAAGGAAAAGGGGAAGTGTGCCATGCACACTTCCTTTCCTCACAGGCGCCGTGGCCCTGCTGCCTTCTGGTTCCACCCGGTTCCCTGCAGCTGTGTGGAATGGCACTGTGCCACCAGGGGGCAGCACCAGGCCATAGCTTCCTGGTCCTGGGGGTCCTCGCCCAGTACCTGTCCACTGACCTTGAGAACCACACGTTTCTCTGTCAAACACATCAAAAGAGCCAATTCTTTTCTCAACTGATTTTTAAAATGCTCGACTCACATTCCCGTAGACTGCAAAATAACAGAAGTTCTCATGCCATCACCTCGTCAATTCTCTATCAAAGCCACCGTGTGGGTTTATTATCCCTTTTCACAAATGAAGAAACCAAGTCTCAGAGGGGTGGAGCAACTTGCTGAGGTCACACAGCTCCCAGCCTCGGTTTCCTGCCTCCCACCCCACGAGGGGCATGAGGATTAGTGGCGATGCCCATGGCTGCGGCAGCGCCAGGTGCCATGTGGGTGTGGGTGCGGGGCTGTGCCGTCACAGGTGCTGCCATCAGTGGTGTCCTGACACCCAGTGAGGAAGCTGAGGCTGGGGGACCTGAACTTGGAGCCCCTGACCCACAGCCGCCCCTCTCTGGCCTGATTTTCCCTCATACCCCCTTGCGCCCCCAGTTCCGAAACCCCAAGGCGTCCCTGCGCGTGCGGCTCTGCGACCTGCTGAGCCACCTGCAGCGGAGCGGCGAGCGAGACTGCCAGGAGTTCTACCGCGCCCTGTACATCCACGCCCAGCCGCTGCACGGCCGCCTGCCCAGCCGCTCCGCTCTGCGTAAGTCCCGCGTGCCGCCACCCTGCTTGGCCCCGTCCAGGAAGGGGACCCTGGCCTGCTGGCCATGGCTCGGACGTCCTCTGTGCCCACTCGAGTCTGCTGAGGCCCAGGCCTAGCATCGCCTCCCTCCTCAGCCCCTCCCCAGAGACCACCCTCCGGCCTCCCAAGGAGGGTATTGCAAGCAGTGCAGATCTCTCTCCCTCCCTGCCCCCGCCCCTCTCTCTCTCTCACCCCGTACATCTCCTGCCCTTCCCTGTCCAACCTTATTCCGTAGGGACCCCAGAAGGGGCGGGGAACCACACATGGCCCCCGGGATCCTTGAGTGCGGCCTTTTGACTGAATCCAAACTTTACAGAACAAATCCTTTTATTAAAAGGAGTGAGCAGAGAAAGATGAAGCTTTTCTTGCCTCCTTTGGTGCTTAAAAAAACTAGTCTTGAAATCAGAAGGCTGCAGGTCCCCCCACTGTCGGCCACGGCAGACGCTGAGGCGGCGTTCACGTTGGGTCCGGCCGCCCTGCACGTGTGCGGTGTTGCTGCGAGGCCGCTCCAGGCCTGGCTGAGCGTGCGAGGCGTGCGTGTTTCGGTGTAGAGGCCCCCCAGGCAGGGAGCCCTCGGGCCCCAGGAGGTGTGTGGATCCCGAGGGTCTGGGCTCCTCTAGCTGCTGGGGAGGGCGCGGTGAGGCTGGGATGGCAGCGCTGATCCGAGGCCTCCATGCTCGCCCCAGGAGGAGGGGCTGCTGCCCTTCGGTCCTCAGACAACAGGATGGAGGCCGGAGAGACTGCGTGGCTCCCTCCAGGCCACTCAGCCAGGACCCTGGGTTGGGGTCTCTGACCCTGAGGAGACCTCCCCAGGTCTCGCAGGAGGCAGTTTAGTTACTGGACAGGGGAGGGCTCCAGGGCAGGACTGTCCCCCAGGAGGATAGCAGGTGGGACTGGCCTCTCACCCCAGCCATGGTGCTCCACAGGGATCTTCCAAAGGGACCGAGCCACACCCCTGCTGGAGGCAGAGCATCTTCCGTGGCTCCCAGGTGCCCCCAGGCCCATCCTGCAGGTCAGCAGGCTGGAGAGGCCATGGGAGGTCTGAGGAGAAAGCCCCCTGCCCAGCTGCACCTGGCAAGGCAGCCACCTCCCTGACACCAGCTGGGTTCTCAAAAGGGGATGTTCGTGCTGCATTTGGTGCCTTGTGGCCACCAGGGAACGGTGGCCCTGCCCACACCCATGACTCTCGAAGTCACAGGAACTGGAGCAAAGCAGAAGACTCAAAACCGTGCAGGGTTCCCTGAGGAGGGCTGGCCTCATGGTGCCAGGCCTGGTCCAGCCAGGCCCTGGGAGGCAGCAGTGGCCTTGGGTTTGCCTTGGGGGTGACCACCTTGTTCTCTGGCTGGACCCTCAACTAACCGTGCTCCGTGATTTTGTTCCAGAGAACTCAGATTGCACAGAGCTAGACTCGGGCAACGAGAGCGACGAGCTGAGTGACAGGGGTAACGCCCCCGCTGCCCCTCCCCTCTCTTTCTCCCCCAACCCAGGGCTCCATCTCCGCCTCGGGGCTTCTCCATCCCAAATTGGGCTCCATTCCTGGCCTTCTGTTGGTGACAGACCCCCTAAGGTGCTTGCTGGGGGGCTCTTCAGGCAGCATCCCAGCCTGGCATCCCTACCTCCTTGTGTGGCCCCCAGTGGGCCCAGGGGGACCCTGCTTATGCTCGTTTCTCTGCAGGACCCGTCAGCTTCCTGGCTGGCCTCAGCCTGGCCGTGGGATTGGCCCTCCTCCTCTACTGCTACCCTCCAGGTGGGTGCACGTGGACCCTCCAGCCCAGGCCTGCACACCCTCTGCCACTGCACTAGGGCCACCAAGAGAGGGCCCGACCCTGCCCGCATCAGAGGCCCCTTGGTCTCTCCAAGCCTCAGTTTCCTCACTTGTGCAGTGGGTCGGTATCAGTACCTACCTCACAGAGCTCGTGAGAAATGGGGTGTGTGGAACGCCCGGGCCTCCAGTGGTCCCTGCTGCCCCTGGGAGAGAATGACAACCCTTGGAGAGAAAGTGGGCAGCTGGGGGTCTGTCACACCTGTGACCCTGAGCTATGCAGAGGCCCTTGAGCCGGTGGCCTCCCCCAGAGCCTCAGGTCTTTCCACTCACAGTGTCACAGGCCTGATGAGCAGGGGGCCTCGCCCAGCCTGGCCTGCTCTGCCCCATGTTTTCCACCATGCCTGAATCTGTCACTGGGAAGGCCAGCTGCGTACAGGGACATAGGCCCAGAAGGCCCTTGGTCACTGGGGTGGGAGTTGGAGGCTGCAGAGTCTGCCCTGATTCTTGTCTTTTCAACCCAAACGCCAAGCCCATGAGCGGGAGGGACAAAGGAGCAGTGCCCAACCTGCCCAGCTCCCCAGGGAGCCGGAGGCTGGAAGGACAGAGTTTACCCCCGGGCCTGGGTCTCCAGTTTTCTCCCCCTGCTGTGTCTTCCAGACCCCAAGGGGCTACCGGGGGCCCGGCGCGTCCTCGGCTTCTCGCCCGTCATTATTGACAGACACGTCAGCCGCTACCTGCTGGCCTTCTTGGCAGATGACCTTAGGGGACTCTGACGGACCCCAGACCCCAGGCCTTTCCTGCTGCTCAACCAAAGAGTCCGCCAGGCGGCCCACTGAGGGGGCCGGAGCTTCTTTTTCTAAATGCTTATTTTTCATTATTTATAATTCATGTAAGAAGCACACCACCTTACAGGGTGCTCAGTGATATTAAATGTTCAAGTCCTGTCCACCTGGCTTGCTGCTTTTATCTCAGGAGGGTTTTTGAGACGATTCTGACTATGGCCGCTCCAGGTGGGCTGGGCCAGGTGTGCTCCTGGCATCCTGAGTCCAGCTGTTGGCGCAGCCTGAGGCAGGACGCTCTCCACCTGGCTCACTTGCCCCAATGATCCCTACACACTGTCCCCTCCCACCTCAGATGTCCCCCCCACTCTCCCCTCCCACCTCAGACATTCCCCCCACTCTCCCCTC